TGTTGTTGTTGCTGTTGCTGTTGTTGTTGCTGTTGCTGTTGTTGCTGTTGTTGCTGTTGCTGTTGCTGTTGCTGCTGTTGTTGGTGTTGTTGCTGTTGCTGTTGCTGTTGTTGCTGCTGCTGTTGGTGTTGGTGTTGGTGTTGTTGTTGTTGTTGTTGTTTCGGATGATCGGATGGTCAATGAACGGATTCCAATGATTCACAATGTGAATTAAATGGGTCTATCATGGTTTATCTGATGGGGCATGTCAAGAAAACATGGAGTCATCCAATGTCATCTACATCAGGTTTTCTTGTATCAGCTGGCTGCGAAACTGCTTGCGGGCGTTCCTTCTTAAAGTATACAGGGTCAGAACAACCACGTCACGTCACCCAGTGTTTCCTGTTTTTCACACATCCATCGAGCCAAGTCCTCCCAAGTCCACTCGCTGCTCAAACGGAGCGTCGGCCGCTTCGGCGGAACTGCACGGATCGGCTGGCGGTAGAGGAGAGCAGAAGGGAGGTGTGCTTGGTGAAGACTAAATCCTCAGGAATTCGCCAAGCTCTGCGCTCAGGAATCGCGCAACCAAATAAGCTGAAGCATGGTTACACAATGTTACACACAAAAATATCATCCATGTCCAGCTTGCAGTTGCCTAGGATACTGACCACTCGATGCCTAGGCATATGATTAAACCCCGTAGCGTCCCTCAACCATCATGATCTATGGATTGGCGGCTGCACATGAATCGAAACAGGTCAGTTTGCTTGTTGTTGTGTTTGTTTCTGTTTTATAGGGCCGAGTCGAGTCTGAACACAATAGACTGCATTTATTGGAAAGCACAGTCTGACTGTTGATCTCTCTCCAAAGTTCTCTGTCTCCTTTGTTTCCTTTTCTTTTTAAACGAGTTATTTCAAACAAATCCAAACCCGCAGATCCATCCAGATCCATCCTGCAGCCAGCACTCGGAGGACCCGACCATGGTTCCAGCCACGAGCCAGCACGGACCCTTTCAGTCCCTCCTCACCCTCTGCAGACCAGTGTAGAAGACCAGTCAAAGGCGAGGCGACCGGTTGAAGAAAGTGACCGGTCACCGGTTTTCACCATGTGCAGTTTTTAGTCAGACCATCTGCCTGGTGACCTTGTGGTAACCTTTGTGACCAGTCGAAAGTCAGGGAAGACCTGGTGAAACTCTGCTTACTTAGACCTTTTTGCGAGACAAAGTGACCTGTCACTGTGTCACCCATCTTCAATGAAGAACAAGGTAAATAAGCTGTTGAGAAAAGGAAACTGTTTTCAAGATTGGAAACAATAGAGGTCCATGTCCATCTGGTACTACAGACTCGATAGGGCTGGCTTTTGCACCAAAGCTTTTTTTCCAGTGGATATTCGAGACCTTTTAGCAGTGGATGCTTGAGTGCGGGGATCGCAATGAATTGTCAATTTCTATCTGCCTTTTGTGAGTATAACATAAACGGACTGATCAATTTGATGGATTTGATCAACTTGATATAATTTGATCCAGCTTGCTTGATTTGTTTAGAGACTCTATTAGAGACATGGAGCATGCTACCCACATGCTGGGGTTTCGTTGCAACCTCTGTCACAAATGAAAGTCGTTTCATGTTGTTTCATGAGTTTCATGTCGTGAAATGTCGTATACTAGAGTCTGGTTTTTAGTGCTTGCCATGGCTTCGCCAAACACATGGGCTGTTGCGAATACGCACGACGGCTCGACGGCTCGACGGCGAATCGACCCCAGGCTCGACGGCGGTATGGGTCTGATCCAAAATATCCTTGCAGGATTTCACCTTGGACGGATTGGCGCCGATTCGCACACTTTCTTGCCGCTATCCAACATCTGGTCTGAGCAATTTTTACACATGAACATCTTGTGATGTCGGTTGAAAATTGGGGAAAGCCCTAGCGTCTAGTCGGTGTGTCATCTTGTCATCTGTATCAGCTCCACCCTAAATACACAAAAGATGTGTGATTGGTCCATTGGTGGCCTAAACCATCTGCCAACACAGAAGACGAGTTTGTCAATTAGACTTGGAAGGAAACAAAAGGATGGATATTATCTATTCTGATAGCAGCAAAGCACTCATATCATCATTCCCAAATAGGGACTGACAATAAACATATTCAAACATATGAGCTCTGCAAAATACGTATGATTAAACCCCTATGTCACAGTGTCACATAACGTTCTTACGCTCCTGCTTACGCCTTTCTTACGCGACCACAATGTGAGCTTACGCGCCACGGATGTTGAAGAAGACCTTACGCAGATCTTACGCATCTGCATTTTCACAGATGAGAAGCATACTCCCAAGGGAAATGCTTACGCGAAGGCTCCTGTTTGCAGGTGAGCGGGCGACAAACACATGATCACTAAGACTCCGAAGCAGAGGAAGCAAAGAATCACTAGCATCTACTTACTGGCTGCTGTAGGCAAATGAAAAGTTGGCTTACGCGAACCTTACGCGGAGCTTACGCGAACCTTACGCCACCAAACCCTCACCAAACGGAGCCTGGCATGTTATGACATGTTATGATGGGTCTGACTTAAGAAAGGTTTGATACAGAGTGGCAAACACAAACAAGCACAGTGCACACACCTGAAACACAGTGCACACAAATGTCAGTTCCCAAGGGTTTCAGAGCTCTCATGGTCCATACAGTTCCTTTCTTGACACATGTGTGCTAAGAATCTACTAATGAAAACACAACCATATGGCAAGCTTACGCAACTTTCTCACAACTCCCTTACGCAACCTTACGCTCTTCAGGTTTTTGCTTACGCCCAAGTTCCATATGACAAGGCCTTTACTTAGTTCATCTTGGGAGGTTTCTTGCGGTGCTCACATGATGTATATATACACACACACACACCTAGAATGACCTCTATTTTGGACCACCAACCACCCAAAGTATGGTCTTTTCATATCAAAACAGGAGTCATGTCTGTGATCAAAAAAGTAAACAACATAACTATATATTGCTTTAAGACTTGAGTTGTTTGGAATATGCATGTGTAGATATGTGTGTATATATAATATATACACACACATATCTACACATGCATATTCCAAACAACTCAAGTCTACTTAAAGCTTCAACACCTGTGGGCAACCTCATTCGCGCGCGATCAACCAACTCCAAGGCACTAAGTGGACCAGGGACCATGGGCCGCCCGAGGGATCGCCCAGCACCAGCTCGAAGAAGAGGGAACACACCAAGGAGATGATCCTGAGACCAACTGAGACCACAGAAAAAGAAAAACAGTCACACAAAGAAATGAGAGGATCTCGGGACACAGATCTTTTTTAACAAATGAACCAATATGACAAATACATATATAATCCTATATATATATAAATAAATATAGAGATATTATGAGAAGATCCTGGCATCTGCTGGACCCGCTGGACCTCATGTGTTCTCCAAGGGAGATGGGTTTGGAGATTCGGGACCGTGGGTGTATCGGACGTCCGACTGGTCAAGCAATCCGGTTGGGACTGGCAACCGGTGAGATAGATTGACCATCATTTACCCTATTGTACCCCATGACTCTGCAAGTCAACAAATGGATAAACAGGTATACACAGTATCAGTCAGATTCAGTAACTATTCCGTACATGGATGCTCTGGGAATGGTCATGGAGAAAGTTGGGTTGGACATCACATCTGATCAAATGGGCTACTACTGGGCTACTGGATCCTCGGGCTATAGGGATAGATGATCTACATGACCAGGAATAAAGATCCTAGGACGGGGTGGGTGAACAACGCTGGTGGCCTAAAGTACGTTGTTCCATTCAGGGGGTGCAACAACGGAATTTCAACCCACACTCTTGGTGAAGAACAAAACGGTCCTGCCACCTGGGCAAAATGCCTTCGATTGGTATTTGCAGTGGACTTGATATGACGGTATCATTGGGTGCTGCTCTTGGATAGGGCTTCGCAAACTTTGCCGTCACGTTCTGAGATCTAACATGGGCCATCCCCCTAGACCCCATGGTTTGTTCCCATCGTTCCCAGTCTCGCCTCTGCCCCAACCGGAGGACGTACAGCGACACGACATCGCAGTCCGGTCGAGCAGCTCGCCCACCAAAACCGAGACCACCTGCGCGTGGATCAGCACCTGAGACTCGGATCGATGAAACAAATTCCTCGTCCTATATGGATGGGTCTGGTCTGACTGGTGCGGTATGATAACTCTGCAGAAGGGGTGAACTGAACATGTGCCTCGGTTGGAAAGCTGGCATACTTTGCCAACAGCTGGTGTTTTTCGACCAGCTCCATGTGGCTATCCAGAATCCCTGAGCAACCGGTGGATTCTATTTTTCTACAGTATATCATATTCTCGTGGGCAAGGTTGCTGTACTTCAACACACACACACACAAACACACGCACGTGATACCATCGGTCTTCGGTATCAAAAGGGCTCGACTCGACCAGCCCCAGTCCCCGAGACTCGACCAAGTCGCCCAGCCAGAGACCATGAAGCCAAACATCACCGCTGCACAGGAGATGCACATGGCCGAGAACATGAAGGACAAGTGGCCTCAAGACCAATCCACCAATCATCTTGAATGAACATCCATAATCGTAATGCTACATCCATGAAGCCAAGGCATTTTGGTTTGACCAACGTTCGCCTGCAAGCCCAGTCGTTTGGTTTTCAGGTGTTAGCGATTTCATGTGATTTCTGGGGCAGCGGCCCACTGTACTTGGAGGTTACTGGCAAAGCTCAACAAAAACAAGTATACAGTAAATAGAATGTGGATGAATGTGGTATTGGTTTGGAGCACCCGCCGGAATTAGTTTTCACAGCGATGTGGCATCACTGGTGCAGAGGATCCGAAAGATCCAACATAGATCACTTGCAGGACCATGATTTACAACGCTCAAGAACCCACGTGGACCCCGTGGTTTTGGCACCCTGGAAGACTGTTTTCTGACGTTCTCTGTATCGCTACCCAAGGGACGCTTAGAGCTACCCAAGGGACGCTTAGAGTTCTGATGGTTCACCATTCAGTGGGTGTTCAGGGTCCATCTGTTACATCTAAAGGCCTCTTCAGCGGGGGGCCAGCAACCATGACTGCATCTCAGCTTGCGGCCTCTTCCCCGGTGGATCGCCAAGAAGTTGGGAGTCTCTTTCCCCCCCAAGTCTTTTTAGGTGTTGCAGGGAATTGTTCTCCATCCCGCAGTTGGACACTTGGACAAGCAACCTTCATGTCTCAATGTGTAAGGTTTTAAGGTTGGCACGTCAACCTGGACGCGTTTGGGCTTTTTGTTGGGATGCTGTCTTGTCTCGTGGCCATGGTACCACGAAGGACTTGGAAGGTGCCAAAGATGGTGAAGACGGCGAAGCAAAAGCTGCAGATCTGCACCGGATCCTCCAGGCTTGCGAACTCGAGGCGAAGCGGTCGCGCTTCGCTCGGATCGACCAGCGCCATGCGAACGAGCACGGAACGGGCCAAACGAGACTTGCAGGAACATTCTCTTTGGCAGGGCCGACCTGGCATGTACTTCGGTGCACCTTTCTTAGTCCGTGGTGAGTGAGTCTCAAGTATCTTCAAACTACAATTGAACACCACCCTGGTTCCACGGTGGCATTCGGGATCTCCTGGGGTCTAGTGATAGTGAGGCGAGTGCTGCTGCCAACACTACGATACTTCTCCCGCAAGCTAGTACGCCTTGCTCAAATGAAGCTCTGCTCACGAAACCGCTTCCCTCAAAAAAGCTAAGACTTACCAGGGTTGGATGATTTGAATACGGAACGAGCATTGACCGCCCCTGTGAGAAACCCTTGAAAAGAAGTGGTATCATCCACTTCGTAAGGGTTTATAGGTTTATCAAACTCCACAGGAGTCAAACACCTTGGATCCTATGGGTCGCATACCCGGCATCAGCAAACTGCCTATAGCTGCCCCTTTGTTAGATGTACAGAGCTGCCAACCGACAGTGGATGTAGAATGTAGAAAGCTCCTTACCCATGACCTCAATGGAGAGGGCCATCAGGATGGCCAGAAGTGATCCTGGGTCGCCATACACACCGAACACCAAAAATTCGACGACCAAAAGGGTGCCACGAAGAAAACTGGCTGCCATGTGGTCAGCAAACAACATGAAGCAAGTTGGAGCAAGAACTTTTGGCAGATCCACATGGAAAAAGACCAAGATTCCCTATCCCCAGAAAACATGGTTGGTGAGAGAACCATGAGAAAACCCTGCTCCTGGCTGTTTCATGCTGTTGAGGCCCACTTCTTTTTTGATGTGATGGAAGAACGAGGCATCCCGTAGGAGATGGATCCGTGTTAAGCAACAGCCGAAGGTCCGAGAATGGGCGGTCATGTCCGTCATGTGGCTAACAACCGTTGGTCTTACTCACTCAAGATTCTGAGATTGGATGGGCGTGCAATTATTTTGAGAGAGAGAGAGAGAAAGACCCTCCGGCCCAGTGTGTTTGGGTCTATTTGCCTTCTTCCAAGGGGTCGGAACGCCTGGCGAGGTCTCCCTATTTGAGCTACACGCCCTTTTGTGAAACTGACAAATCTCCTGAACATATCCAAACACTTGTGGTACAGCTTGGGTGCTCCCATGACTCGGGAGCCTATGACTGATTGACCTCAATTCCGAAGAAAGCGCCGGGAGATCCGGGAGGGCGACCTGCAACGCATCTGGGGATTCCCCAAATTCCCGACCCCAGACTCTCGGACAAGTAGAGGGGATGTGAGCCGTAAGGTCTGAGAGGGGATGTGAGCCATCATGAAAGTGGATAGACTACCGGAAGACCACGTTCCTTGCCAGGGTGGTGCTGCTCAGCTTCGCTTGTTTCAGGGAAGGCTCTGACCATCGTGCCACAGGTTGAGAACCCCAGGCACATGCCGCAAGTGCGGTCTGAACATGTGCCACATGCTGCAAGTTCAGGACTGAGAGAGGGATTCATTGTCCAAAAAGGGCCTCGAAACGCAAAAAGACCCTGAACAACACACAGCTCAAGGCTGGGCCTATAATTCGCATGTGGTCTTCAACTGCCTTCCAATTTGCCCACCTATAAAGAAAGTATCCTTCTCTCTTGCTGCAAACTCTTGGCTCTTCCATCGCCCATCAATCGTTCATGCCCCAAGTTAGGACCTTCCCTGCTCCATTCCACCAGGCTTCCGCAGCAGGTGCCCGCCAGCCGCTGCAGAAACTTCAGGATCAAACGCTCCAAGGTGATGCCTTCGGAGCGGACGAGGGAGGCATCGAAAGCTGAGAAGCGTCGGTTCGAGCAGTTCGTCGGTTCGTGCGCAGCAAATAACATTTCCAGGTGTTTAAAAAACAACTTAAAACATATTAAAACTAATCTGGATCAAACATCCAGGAGTCACAAGGGGTGGTGTTTAGTCCCATCCAGTGAGCGGATCATGGGCACCTCTAATCTCCATTAAGCGTCCCTTTGTGACTGCTGGATGATAGAGCACCCAGACTCATCCAGCTGTGATGCCCCAGATTCTGCCTCGTGACCTCACCTTGGAGACCCTGCCTGGTTCCATGAGGAGGACCACGGTCACGATGGCCGTGCTTGCTTGGAAGCGGTTCCAAGGTGCTGCCATGCAATCTCCCAGCGTGCGCCTCTCAGCTCAGAGAAGAGACGACCACTGAGACCACAGTAGAGGCGAGGGGCCACAGTCGGTGCTGTCACAGTGACAGCCGTTGTGATTGGGAATCAAATCAGAGCCAATCATCACGATTCTCTTGAACATGTAGGAACATATCATAACCATGATGCTGAGATTAACGGCCAAACTCTATGACACTCTACGGTCTTTTCATGGCTCATCATCGTTTCACAGACCTGTGCATGCATAGAATGCACATTACATGACTACAGGTAGAGAGAGGCGTCCAATGATACGGTTTGCCCTGATGTATCACAAGGAAATCATTGCATGCTTCCCCCTACAACTCTTGGTGAACCAAAAGTTGAGCACACATGTCGTACTACAGGCCCAAAAAATGGTTTTCACAAAGGTTCATCGAAACAATGCAGAAGTTCCCGGAGTTGCATGTCGTTCTCTTGCCTAGGGCCTATGGCAAGGGGCTGCCCATGCTCCACCCAAACATGGAACTCTTTTCGAAGAGGACGTGCCCTTTCCATCATCCAAGTCTCAGAAGCAAGCAAATAGACACCGCCGTGCCAAAGGGCAACGTCTTCCTCGGTTGGAAACGGGTCTTCGGTTGCGCGTGCCAGGCCGTTTGGCGAAGCAGACGTCTTCGTCTCGACCACCCCGACAGTGGGCCCCCAAGATGGTGTTGAACAAGTTGACCTCACAAGGATGAGTCATTTAGTGTGGAAAAGGTCATGATGTGCATAGCCCATTAAGGTGCACACGTCACATGGGATGAGGCAGCTTTGGACAAAAGTAGCTGTGCTCGTCTGTGTGGAAGGGCATAAAGAGATGTTTCGTAGTGTGAAACCGCTGGCCAAGTATACATTTCCAGTCAAAAATACCTGACTATTGCCACTAGGTCCTGGATGGGATTCGGCACAGGGCAAGATTGATTGGTGATTAGAAGCACTGGCAACTCTTAACAGTGTTTACTAGTGCTTAATCCGGCTTATATAGTATTAGCATGTATCCACAATGAAAGCTTACAGCTTCGCCCCCACTCTGTGCTTTCTTCTTGGGTGGTGCACCGGTATCAGCCATACTTCAATCATGCAATCATGTCAGGGTCAAAGACGCACTTAGTTGCATGGCGCCGCACCCAAACTAACCACCCATGGGCTGGCTTCCCCTTGGAACAGTGACGACCCAATCCAACGTCTCAAGGCATGTTGCGCTGACGAACTACTGCTGAGACTGAACATCCTGCAACAATAGCAACTAGTATCACAAATTTGGCATGGTGGTCCGCTGTTGCTGAACCAACACAAAAGCAATGATGAAACATAGGGGCTGCCATGGCTGCCATGGTGGGATTTGTTAATCCAGTGCAACCAACCCATGCTCCACACCGCATCCAGTGGTCGGCCATCCGCCTTAGATCATCCAGGCATCCTCAACAAAGGCCGTCCGCCAGCCCAAGCGATCGCCCAAATGGTTAAGGCAGGGAGGAGGATTGCCTTCCACGCACGCGCATGCCTGGGGGCGACCCGCGGTACTGGTGAACAAGCGGCCTTCGCACGTGCAAACAATCGCTTCATCGCAACCGCTTGTTGAGAAGGGAAAGACACACAGTTGCCAGTTGAACATCTGAGAGCACAGGGGAGCGCCGATCTAAAAGAACACACGCGCAAAAAAATAATCAATCAATACCCTAGGGATCCACATACCTTCTCAGGAGGTACTTGGGCCCTCCAAGCCTACATAAATAGTCTCCAATCACCTTCTGAGAAGGTACTTGGATCCCTACGGATAGTACAAGTTGTTCAGCATCTTCAGGCGACAAGGATTGAATTGAGACGTAGTCGTCATATGGCAGACTTGCCTCCGCCACCAAGGTCACCTGAGGTCAACGGAGCTTTTGTCACCATGGAGGGATCATCGCAAACGGTTCAAGCATGGTTTTGGCGCTCCCCCCGCACAATGGGGGTTGCCTACTAGTAGTAAGGCCAGGAGCTGCTAGTAGCGGCCTTGCTCCTGCTTATATTACATGATTTTACCAACGGATATATACACACGGCACTTACAATAATTATTTTGGAAACCCGGACATACACATCATCTATCTATGTGGGACACGGCCTGGTCTGCAGATGATGTGGGACATGACCAGCTGGCTGTGAGTGGCAGTCGCCTCCTGGTAGCACAAGTTGCCAAATGCAAACCCTTTATATGAGCCCTTTTTTGGCCTTATGATGTTTATCACTCCCAAGGCAAGTTCCACGATCGGAACAAAGCAATCACTCATGAAGTGTTTTAATCCCATTGCCAAACAGGGACAAGTCTGGATGCCGTACTGTAAAATACCCGTTGACTAGGCTCGACACGCCATGGCTCATCATCAGCGACAAAAGCCAACCATCAGAAAACAGTCCCACCGTCCTCTATGATGGCAACTTTACAAAGGCAACCCCCAAGTTCACATTGGATCACGAGAAGGAAGCTGCCTTCCAAAACCAACCGGAGTTCATCCGAGTCCCATCTCACGTGCCCGTCACATGCCCGTCACAGACAGCACCAGGATCGCTTCAAGGCAAGGCACATTGGGCACCTCCAAGATCATCAGCCCCACAAAGGAATCCTGGATCTTGGCTCTGCCCTTGAGCCAAATGATCCTGCCAGAAGCTCCTGACCCAAGGGTCATCTCGGTAACTCTGCTAAAAAACCACGTAAGAACCACACACGAAAACCAAATACAGGAACACCAACTCCAACAGAATCCTCCGATCGATGTACCATTCTGACGGTCGCCGTGAATCACGACTGTTCTCGGCAAAGCTGTGGGGACCCAGGCCCATGGGCCCACTCCGAATTGGGAGACACACTATGCTCTGCCTTTTCAATTCCTCCATGTATCAAGCAGAACCTCAGTGGTAATTATATATAGCCCTGGCCCTTCATAGCAATTAAATGCTACTTAGGTATAACTTTCCCTGCTTTCCCGATCAACAATTCCAGCTGCGGCTACTGGATGGCTTCCAAAGCCAAGAAAATAATAGAGGTCTGGTGAGTCAGTGAACCCATCGAAACCCTGAGCATGTTTAGCAACGTTATACAAAGTCATCGATCCCCTCTACTACATATAGACATAATCCGATGCACCAACTAAATCAGCAAAAACAATCAAACAACAACTGTCTCCCTGTAAAATTCCAACGCACTGATCGGTAAATCTGGACAAACCTCAAAGCTCTACACCCGTACTAGATCCGGAAACAAACACAACATCAGAAAAGTAGATTTAAATCTGGAGCTTCGAACACTCTACCTGCCCAATTGGATGCGCCACTACCTGTGCTTGGTTCCAAACGCCAGTTGCTCAACTTTCGCCTCCAACCTGAACACGCCATGCCCCCGGGGTCCCAACGCAAGTCATAAAGATCTAGCTTTACGATCATGTCGCAAGCACTCCATGTCTTCAAACGTGCAGGTGACACGATCGGGTGACCTATCGGGTGTCGAGTCTGCACAGCGGGAACGAGGAACGTCGCCTGTTGAGTATCCACGTTGATGAAGAGATCCCAAACGTTTTGGGACGCGGAAGGTCCACCTAGATTGACAACTCTTAGAAAGGGCACTATCGTCGTCGTCTTCCAACTGACCCTCTGTTTTCGTCTATGTCGCCTGGAAAGGCGACCCCCACATGGCAGCTGATGGACCAATTGCTGGAATGTATCTGACCACTTACAGAACGACAGAACAGGCGGTTCCAGCCAAAGCTGGTGGCGGTTCGACCCAAAGCTGGTTTGCTAACGACCTGGCCACATAGACTTCTCATGTGGGACGGACCCAACTATATAGAGTGAGAATGCTACGTGGACTTGCAAAATGGAAACTTGAAATGTGATGAAATGTGTAAGCAGCTTGTCATAATTTGGTGCTCCCCCTTCCCCTAAAAGGGAAAGCCGGGAAAGCAATTTACATCAAACGTGTCATTCTTCGCGTATTTTTCGTGTCTTCGTGGAGCATACCTTGATCGCCCAGAAAGACCTAGGACCTGTAACGCCTGTTGTCATGTTCAACGGACACCATCGGGTCACATCTTAAGGTCCCGGCTCCTCCAAGCGGGCCTGGAGTCGGATCAGCCCGATCGGCCCGAAGCGATCGGTTTGGAATCTGCCCGATCGGAGTAGGGCCAATCGAAAAGGTGATTCGTTTCTTGAGCCGAAGAAAGGCAAGTTCTATCACCACAAAACAAAGTAAGCGCCATGTTTGGAATAAAAAGGCATTGGCCACCCTAGCAACCATTGATATCATAACTGTTCCCTGAAAGGATATGGGTCTGGACTGGGAATCATGTAGGTGTCCCTATCTCAAATCCATCCCCAGGTAATGAAATGACCCGTACAAGGCCGCCAGTTGGGTGACATGGATATGCTCATTGACCCCAAGTAGGGCCAATGTGGGCTGTCTTACAATGAGGAGCATCTTTATTTCATCCAGTCGTGGGCCTGGGTCAAAATGAAAGACCGAGCGACTACACTCAGGCTCGTTGAGGTGTTCACCATGGTTTTTTGCAAGGCATTGTCCGCAAGAGTACTTTGCGTCTAGATTCCATTGGGCCTAGGCGATCTTTTAGTTTAAGAATGTGGGCCTCCACCAAATGCTTGAAGTAATAAGCAAGAATACTTGCGACCCCAGCACACAACACACACATACACACTGCGGCAAATTGCTCTAAACAGTCCCAGCCTTCAGTTTCCTTTCCATTCTCTCACTGCCTCTGCGCTCCTGATCAGCCCCGTCAGCCGATGGATCCACAAGTGAAGGCAACTACAGACATCACATCACCTCAACAATACCTCAAACGGAAAGGTAGCCCAGGGCAACAGTGGAAGGCAATTTTTTTTCTGCTGGGCGATCTCTTTCTCAATCTTACAGATCATCACATCGCCCAATATAGAACCACCATGAACAATTAACATATGTTTAGACTGCCAGCAGCCCCCATGTTCAGCTCACAAACCTAGCATCGTGTTCATATCCATATATGGATAGTACTTGGGGGACAGATCCGACAATTGAAATTCTGAAATATCAAGCAGAAAAGATACAAACATTTACATTATCAAACTATGGATGCATATGCATGCATCATCATTACTAGGAACAAGTGCATCGCTACTAGTAACAAGTGCCTTACTACTAGTAACAAGAAGCTAGTAGTAAACAAGCATCATCATGCATCTAAATTCATTACACATCCAGGTGTTTTGTGGGACCGAACGCACGTTCCTGAGACCCTGACATGTACCGAACCACGAGTGTGGTGCTGGTGCCGCTTGCTTCTATATTCCGAGAAACTTGATTGAAGCAAATACAACTATACTTACAATATCTTACTCTATCAAAAACAGTTGATGTTTGGGATGCACACAGCCAAAAATCCAAGTTGGCCACTGAAATGTCGGCGTGATGAATGTCCTAGTCGGTGTGCATTGTTTCGCTGCCACGTTTGGAAGGTCACAAAATATTTGCCCATGGCCAAATTCCCACAACTTCCCCTGACTTCCACAGAATTCTTTAGATTTCTTCGCAAACATAACCTATACTAGAGGGTCACCAACTGATGCACTTCTTAGCACTTTTGCCAGAAAGGGTGTGTGGCCAACAACGGTCCAAAGGAATGCCAAGACAACGGCCCCCCAATAAAAACATCAAAAGCAGCGGAGTGGCCGGATGGCCCTCCTCGAATCGAGAGGTCCTCTCCCTTGAAGAGTCCTCTGCCTGGGACCGGCGTTCGAGACATCGTGTGGACGACCGGAGATGACCGGTGGTGCTTTCTTCCAGGGCTCCGAAGAAGCGCCTGGGCTCCAAGTAATAGCAATGGCCTCCAACATTGCAGAAAAGAAGAGAAGTGAAGACGGGTTCCTTTTAGGTGAAAGATGGTGAAAGGCACATCACATCACAGCCTTGATGAGTGAGGTCAGTTCCTTCCCCCTTTTGCACAGCCCGGCTTGACGCTTTGACCTGTTCTTGAAGGCTCTACAGGTTGGTTCTCAACCCGTTTCAGATTTCAACAATCAAAAAGCATGGTTTGGGTGGATCCAAAAAGCTGGTTGAGTCGAACCACCAAGGAATCACCTGATTTGGGGAGAAAAGAACCCTGCAAGTTGCAATCCGATAAGCAGCCTCAAACAAATCAACTAACCACCCCGCGATTCCATCGATGAGCCCGTCGTTGGTTGCTGTAAACAAAAATAACACGTCGACCGTCTTGTAGTCATTCACAGCTGGTGGTCCCCTGGCACCTGGATGGGGACCACCAGCCAGCTCCGCGAGGCTGGACACAGACTGAAGCTGAGGAAAGAGTTACCTTCAACGAGAAAGGGATTGCCAGAAAAAGAACTGACTTTCCAAAAGAATGCCACGGAAAATGCCCCGAAATGCACCAAAGCTCTCAGAGCTCCTTTGCTTTTTGACTGCGGTTACGGTTACGGAATCATCATGGAAGTGGATGGCACCACCTATTTGTACAGGGAAAGGGTCATCCAAGGGGCCATAGTCCACTTGCATGGTGATTCCAGGGAGTGTACAAACATTGAACATCACTTGTTTCTTTTTTCTCCGTGTGTGTCGTTGGGCCGCCAAAACCTGAAGTGGTCACCAGTAGGCCGGACATGGCCGAACCACCAAACGGGCACTCCTGGAAACTCCAACCATCAAACCATGTGGACTTCCTCGTGCCGCTGGACTCTCTCAAGTTGCAGGTTTAATTACTGTACATCCAAAGTTGTGGGCAACTGCCCAAGCAATCTCCAGGCACCGATCTACTTCATCGATCAGCATCACCGATCACCTCTCATCGAACTCGCAAAAACATCTGTCACGCCTGGTCTTGGAGCATCCGCTGATCGGCCAAGACACCTTGGGAGGACACGGGTGGTCACGTGGGGACTGGCGATGAACGCGGGCGCCTGGTGTTGACGGTGTCATCCCGGTGTCATCCACGAGAAGAAGGATCTTGAAGACCTGATGTGTGTGATCATTTCTGATGTGAGGTAGGTGACTGTGGTCAAACAAAATACTGATGGGCTGTTGGATGTATTTGGTCACTGAGACGTCTAACACCAGATATGAGGCATATGCTGAAATGTGTGTGTGTGTGTGTCTCGGTATGTGTGATGTGTACATGTGTACCAACTGACTTACGGGGTGTAAGACTGCTTACGGAGTATCAGCGTCAAGTCCGTCAAGTGATTTCAGGTTGGCACCCTTCTAAGAACCAAAAAGGTAATGAACACTGGACGCCGAACACGAAAACACTTGCTCAGAATATTTTCAGATCTCGAGGAACTGGGTACCAACCAGCACCCGACTTATATTGACTCTTCCTGATTGGAGGGACCCCAGTGGGCCAGTTTTCCAGGGTCTCAGCTGCCCCAACCGGTGCTGAAATCCCTAGCAATCCACAGACCTTGAGAAGGCATGGATTCTCCGACCTTGAGGCAGACTTGACAGTGAACTGTTGAGCTTCTCCGCCAATTCTTCTCGTTTTCTCAGGGCACCCGGCGTTCCAAGGCCACCTCCACACCTTGGATCTCCTCAAGTTCGCTGCACTCGGCAGGATCCATCCGGATCATGTCCACTGGATCAGTAGGTCCCCACTGGTCCCCCTCATACAACCTTGAAACAATATGGTTCCCTCATACAACAGCCAAAAGACCTGCGATCCGTTCGTGAGTGTACATTGAAGCATTGTTATCCTTTTCAAGCCACCTTTAAAGGCATCGAAATCACTACTCCCCCCAAAAAGGCTGAACATATTAACATCAAACATATATATATATATATATATTATACCCCGGTTCAAAACTCTCAAAAACATGCTGCATGCTGCATGCTATTTGGCAACCCCCATGCTCACCACACACTTGGATCTTGAACCGTTCGAGTCTTGAATCTTGAGGGTCTTCACTCGACCCCCACGACGACTGCTTGCTAGCCCACCAGAACCTGTAATTAAGTGGACTAACATGCATCTTCACCCACAAACTGTCGCACTCCCCTGCCCACCATTCATGACCAATCCTGCCCTCAATCCATCTGGGTCTACACCGAAGAACCACCGGTGTCAGGTTGTCGTTCTTCCCTCGTCCCCGCCATCTTCCCCGGTGCCTTCAGCAGGCGCTTCATCTCCTTCTCGTTGGCGTCCACTTGCACCGCCATCCGGGCCACCTCGCGGCTCCTTCGAGGACGGCGTTTTGGGAGGCTCTGCGAGAAAAACACATCGAGGATGGCAGGGTGCTTTTTGGTAGGGAGAAGTCATGAAACGTCCTTCTTTCCCTGGAGTTTGGGAGGTGTGTGGTACTGATTTACTATGAAATGATATACTTCTAAGATTCTATAATATACATGCTTTGTGCTTTTTTGAATGGTTCCGGTTTGGGGTCCTTCTGTTGCCTCTCTCTTCTCTTTTTCGGCAGACATCATGCTGTTGTCTTTCCTCGTTCCTTGACCTTGCTTGAAGGAACATATCACGTCACTGCTCCGGCAAGAACGTTCCATCATCCGACTGAGAAAAGTGAGCAATAGTTAGTCAGTCAGCCGAGCAAAGGAAGCCCCAGAAAGGTGTACAAGTCACCTAATTTCTTGGCTCCTTGGCTGCCTTGCAAAGGATAACAACTTGTTGCTTGACATCAGCCACAAAAAGCCGTGCGACAGAACAGTGACAAGAACAAATGGCCTGCGCCGTTCAAATCCAGTCGTCAAGGGTCAAGATTCCCTGTCGTGCCTTTACAAGGATCTTGTTGCCATCTCAGCATTCACAGAGACGGACCAGAACAAACTATAGGGGAGTTCGTCAGTCTCTCGATCCTGTGAACAAAAAAACAAAACACACACATGAAGGTGGACACCGGACACCATCCTGTTGGTAAAAGAAAATAGTAAAGATACATGCCATCCGTGTGATGCGTTCGTCGGAGGGTCTGAACCAAGATTGTCCACCCAAAATCCGCATCTCCCATTCCTGATCTCAAAGCCTACTGGGTGCAGTGCCGCTGCCATTAGCAATAATGATCCAAGCTCCAAGTCCTTCTTTGGGTCAGATTCATAATCCCAAATGCCAACAATGTTAGACACCAAAGTGTGATCCAATATCCATGCGTCCAGCCCAGCTCTTTACTGGACACCCTCAACCCTGGTGGCGTCCTGGGTGAAGTCACATAGCCTGCAGGCTCGTGGGCTCGCGACCGCCGAGAGCTCGGATGACCCGGGAAGAAAGCCAGCTGAGTGATGGAAATATTGCAGGGTGGCAACAGCGTTAGTGAAAAACACGATGATACACGATGTCTGAAGATGCAAACCCAATGTTAGTTGAACGTGCATGTTTCTCAGGATGTGTCACTGACCCCTTTCTGATTCAATTCCACACAGCAAATCATGAATTGAGGCTACGGTGCCACTGACCTTCTCAAAACTGAACCCATCAGAAAGCCTCAAATGATAACCGTGTGTATTTTCACGTGTGCATAACAGAAACAAATGCAGCAGGTCAAAAAACACCCTTCAAAGATCTGGGGTAATGTCGAAAACACATACTGTACTAAAAACACAGGAAAAGTACGAGTATGATGTATGGGTTTCATACGGGTTGCGGAAACATCACGTATTTCCCAAACCCGAGGTATTCGTTCCAAAGATTCCAGAGTACTGTGTTAATTAGTACAAATAGCGGACGGGTTTGGTACGGGTTGGACATTCACGCGTTACTTTCTGTCGCTAAATCTTCAAACAGTAGTGCCTTAATTATACTAACACAAAAAACACAAGGCACCGGCATAATTACTCGCTAAAGTCCCGCTTACCAATTACATGCAAGTAATTATGCCAGTACCAAATGTGTTGTGGAGTCTGGACCTCAGGCACAAATGGACAGCCATTCACGTGTTTTTAGATTAATACAATTCTTTCAACATGCCATGAATCAAGGGGTTTTGCAACCCGTGCGGTCCAACCCGATGTATTTCGTTGCACCCCTGTTTAATAACAGCAGGTAAGGGGTGCGTCTCTGGTTCCTGCGGTGTTTGGATCCTTCTACGAGGGAAAACAGCGAGCACCGCCCAAACTAACCAATCACCTAGTACTAGAAGGGGCCTAGCGGCCTAACCCCAATTTAACATGGAGCCGGGAGAGAGGATGTGTTTGCCCCAGTAGCAGATCCTTGGTATCACCATTGAGCACTTGTCCAATTGAGATCCATTGAACTATTCCAATGTTCTTCCAGTATGGATTTCATGAATTCAAAAAAAATGAGTTGCTACAGTACCAAAAGAGTTCCTATAGTCAACAAAACGCCGATCCAGCACCAGCACCAGCACAGGCAAACAAAACGCAGATCCAGAGCCACACCATGAAAAAATAAGAACCCCTATAATTTGCAGTTATATCTGGGGAAACAAAATTGAGAGGTAAAAAACAGGTTACTCAGAGACAATGTTCCTCGCAAACATTAAACAATTTCCTCTCGAATTGATTGCCCACCTGCGCAGGTGATCATACTACTACAGTATGTATCTTTCTGTGTCTGCAATCTCCAAATTAAATGTTATACTCACGGCTCAGCTGAGATGGTGCACTTCGGGTCTAATCATGGACTTCAGATTGAAGCCTCACCGAAAACCACTGGATCAACATAATTTTGCTCGATATCAACCAGTTTTCCCAGCACAACCACCCTCACAAGCCTTGCGGCAAGCTCAAGGCAAAACATCATCAGCATTCGCCGGAAATTGCGCACTCATGCCGCAACCTCCAGCCAAGCCCCCCACAAAACCTGCGAACGCCTTCCGCAGTCGCGCCACTGATATTGCCCAAACCACTTCCACAAAGCATACATCAAACCAAGTGGCCATGCATGAAAAGCAATGCGGCCCACACCAAAAAAGAGGCTCCGGCAACTTGTGATCTTGAAGCTTGGCTGCGATACCTCCAATTGTTGAACAGTGAGCCATTAGGCTCCACGCGCTCCTGGCATGATGCTCCATGGTTCGAAAATCTGCATGCAGACATGGGTGGGCTCATGTAATCCATCAGGCAGCTCATGTTCGAATAGGCTGAGCAGTTCGAATAGGCTGAGCACATGGGTGGGCCTCCCGCGGTGGGCAAGTGCACCACCAGGCCGGCAATCACGATAGATGCATTGGGTTTCACCCTGTCGTCCACAGCGTTGCCGTCGAAGAGCAGCACATTGTAACCTAGCCATATTTGTGATTGTATGTTGTTTGTTGAGGTCCGGGACTGCCCACTGCGATCTGGCGCTTGCGGTTGAGGTCCGGTAGTGCGCACTTCGATCTGCCACTTGCTCGAACTTGCTGGCGAGGAGGAGGCGGAGGAGGAGAAGGGGAGAGGTGAGCGTTGATAAAATCTAACAACCGTCACCTGGCAGGCGAGAAAGAACATGCACAATGGATGATGGTTGACAAGGGCCTCTACAACTGATCAGTGCTATCATTCTTACGACCATAAATTTCTGTCACCACTCGCTGCCTCACTGCCCCAAAGGGGAAGCAAAAAGAACTCCAGAAATCCCTATTCTTAATTAGGCATTCTCAAAGCATTCTTAAGCCACATGTTGATTGCATGGATCTTAAACCGGGTTCACACATGTTCAAACAACGTACGGTTCAAACCATGTCCGGTTCCTGTGAAGCGGCACCCATGATTCTTGTTGCTTCGGCCGCCAAGGACGCCCCACCTTGGAGGGCTTCCACACCTGTCCAGCACAGGGAGCTATGAAAGAGCTATGAAATTACTGCCTAGCAAACTGTATGGACCATTATGGACCATACCGAACATATTCAGAGCTAGTATTAGAAAAGTTAAGCAAACCTTTCAGGCGACGTACATCTTAGGATTCCAATAACATCAAATGACTAATATTAGCTGAAGGGTTGAATTCTAGCCTTTCCTTTGATACTGCACACCCACTTGTACACACCATGGTTTTCTGGATCACCTAGCTTTCAATACTAAACACCGACACATTATCTGCTGAGAAAATTGGAGGAACTGAAGCAAAGCGTGCACAAGAATCGCACGAGTGCCGAAACCCTGATCTGAAACAAGTGCCGAAGCCCTGATCTGGGTGGTCGAATTTTGTTGCTAGGTCGCAGGGGAAAGGCAAGCTAGATCACCCTTGTGTCCTGACGACCTACAGCTACAATGGCCTTCTGCGCGTGGCTTGGATGAGTCCCAACCAAACGGACAGAACTGGAAATGCTCTCCTTCAAAAATTCCGAGCCACCGGGTGTTTGTCATAATTGGTTCTAGCGGCCAGGAAAACCACGCCTGCATGTTCCAATGTTCTAACTCATTATGTACGAGTCTTAGGTTGCTACATATGAGAAATGAACGAAATCTACGGCTCTAGGAACCTACTTGGTCATGGTCATGGTTGTATTCCCTTTGGCTTTTCAGGGTGCAAGCAAACTGACCCAACGAACACATGACACGTGCACTTTTTCAAGTGGTGCGTCTTAGGTCAACAGTACCTGTGCCCCTAAGCCATGACGCAGCAGATGATGCTCCAGATGCATGCCATGAAAGAAGAGCTCAAAGAAGCAAAGGAGCAGCAGTCCTCAGCCAGTTCAACCAGCAAGACTCGCAAGACCAGCCTAAGCTTCGAGAAAGTCAACCCGAACAGCGAGGAGCAGTGAAGAGCTCGGAGCAATCAGTGAGAGACCTCTATCAGGAGCCAAAGTGTCAAATTCGCCAAATGGGGGCCGAGCTGGGTGTTACTCTCGAAGAAGGGTACATTCAGGAAGTTTTCAAGATGTTCGAAGGCGAAAGGCTTTTCCTTTTAGAGGTTGCTTGTTCGACTGATTCACTATTAACCCAAGAGGCATTGGAGAAAGGAATGCTGGCAGAGAGAGCTTCGCTGTTCAATGGACATGACCTGACTACACCAGAGGGACTTTGGAAAACTCTCGATCTCATCAGAATGAAACGACCTCGGAACATTTGGATTTCCACGGAGTGCGGCCATCATTCAGAACTTCAACCAGAAAACGGAACAACAAAAGAACGACCTGAAAGACAAACAAAGGCAGGCTCGAAAACAACACATAATAGGTGGTTTGGTGGTGGCTTATTTTGGTAGGTCTTTGGGGTGTGACATTCATTGGGAATGGAGCCGCAGATGTCGTGCTTGGAAATGGGATTTGATCGATAGGATGCGAAGTAACATGAACACGTTCACGGCCATCTTGCGGGGCTGCCCAGTTGGGTTGGTGAATGCGAGTGGGACCGGGGTGATAGGAAAAGAATGGAGAATCGAAGCCACGAACGAACAATTCGCCAAAAGCGTCCATTTGCCATGTAAAGGTGACAGTTGTGAAGGCATGCATGTCAGGTGTGAAGGTAGTGAGACACGGAAATCAGCCTTTTACACGAAGACTATGGTGAAAAGGATCATTCATTACATGCGACAAGGGTTGTCCGAAGAGACCCGCAAGATCTTGAATGGCAGCCGTTCGCTTCCGATCTCCGACTTCGAATGTGTCGAACGCAGGGTGAAACTGGGAAAGTACTCGGAAGGGAAGTGCAACTGTCAGCTGTTCAGGGATCAAGGGTTGGTTCAGATGTGTCTCAATGGAAGATCAAGAGGTTCTGTCCCCCGAAGAGATTCATGAATGGGAAACTAAGTTTAAATTGATCCATGGTCACGGTGGTGTTGCGAGTTTAGTTCAGGCCTTGAGGCAGAAACAGGTCGGACAACCCGTTTTGGAACTTGCTAAGAAATTCCGGGGTGAAATTTGTGAAGAAAGGAAGAATCCATTCCCAGACGTGAGTGTTGCCAACTTAGAGAGATGGCATGTCGTTTTGGCGGATTGTGCGTTTTGGAGGCATCCCATCACGAATAAAAGGGTCACTGTTGGTCTCATGATGGATCAGGGGTGTAGGTTTCTCGTTGGGAAGATTTTGGTGGAAGGGGAGTCCTCTAGTGTCAAGTCGGAACAGTACATTAAGTTCTATCAGGAACATTGGCAGCAGTACTTTGGACACCCGGAATTCTTGAGGTTCGACGCGGAGGGAGCGTGGAGGTCTCGAGAATGGGATGAACACTTTTCGAAACACCAAGTGATGTTGGATCCGATTCGCGGTGATGCTCATTGGCACCTCTCGCCACCCATGAGGAGCATTGCATGGCTCAAAGAACTTTTGTCCAGATTGGCCCAGGACGATGCTCGCATCAGTCCTCATGAGGCAGTAGCTCAAGCGATTTCCATATGGAACAAAAGAGAGATGGTACGAGGTTTCTCACCATTTCAACATGCCCTGGGACAAGCACCGGACTTGGAGGGACGCTTCTTTCGACAAGAAGTGAAAAGTCTGCCGGTGGACATCATGGAGACTCCAGTCAAAGAGATGGAAGAGAGAAACCGCCTGAGACTTTTTTGGCAGAAGAGACCTTTTTGAGGTGGCAGGCGAAGGAGAGAATAGCCAGGGCACTCAACTCCAAGGCCAAGGCCATCCCGACCTACATGCTGGGCGACTTGGTGTTTTACTGGCGCCACCTTGGCAGGAAAGAAGCTGGACAGAGATACCAAACAGGTCATTTTTATGGTTACGCTGGACCAGCGAGAATCCTTGCTTTGAAGACCAGATTTGACGAGGACGGAAACGTCCGACCAAGTTCAGTGGCATGGCCGGTGAGGAACAACAGATTGTTGAAAGCCTCGATTGAGCAGCTTAGAAGGGCCTCAGACAGAGAACAGGTTCTGGCAGAGATGGACAAAGAGTTCAACATGCTGTGGACGATCTCAGAGCTCGTGGCACCTCTGGGGAAGAACGAATATGATGACATCACCTCAGAAGCCAGAGAAATGCCTGGACCAGAAGATCGTGAGAGAGTAGCTCGATTTTGGTTGTCCAACAAAGCGGCACCGGTCCAAACATCCGGTGGAGATTCCTCCAGAAGCTGACCCTGCCCCTTCAGATGTCGACTGAGGAGATGAAAGGAGGTCCTGCCAGTTCTAGTAGGCCCCACCAGGTTATAGACTTGGAATCTGATGACCAGTTGTTTCAGGACACCAAACCGAATTCAGAGGGCAAAGAACAGGGAAGTGTTTGGAGCGATCAGTCCGCAGCAGTTGAGTTGACAATTCCTTTGCCGACCAGTAGGCATGGATGGATGAAAATGTCAAAAAATGTCTATGGATACATAGTGAACACTCTCAAAAAGAAACGTGTGGAAGTGTTTGAACGCCACATGGACGAAGAGACCAAAGATAAGTTCATGGGAGCTAAAGACACTGAGATCAACAAGTTCATTCAGTCAGAAGCTCTATAGACATTACCAAGACATTTGCAACCATCCAAAACAGAAGCGATGTCTATGAGGTGGCTTTTAAGTTGGCAGGTAGACGGCGACGGCAAGACTGTACCTAAGGCAAGGTTGGTCATTTTGGGGTACCAGGACCCCGTTATGAACACAGAACTACCTATGCACCGACTACCACTCGCCACACCAGACAGACGATGCTTCAGTTTGCTGCAGGCAAGGGTTGACATTGTTGGAAAGGCGATGTGTCTGCCGCCTTTTTACAAGGCCCGAGTTTGCGAAGAAAATCTTTATTGTACTCCAACTGTGGATTTGTGCCAGCGATTGGGTATCCCAAAGGAGAGCATCACCAGACTTCGGAAATCCTGCTATGGATTGGTGCAAGCACCATACGAGTTGTACGAATCTGTACGCACTCAATTTCTCTCATTAGGTTTCACCCATCACTTGCTGACCCCTGCTGTTGGTTTCAAACCAAGGATCAGAAGTGAAACCAATCATCACAGGGCACGTCGATGATTTCATCTTTGTTGGGCACCCTCAAGATGAAGTTTGGGGCAGAGTGAAAAGACAGATTCAAGATGCTTTTAGGTGGGGAGAGTTTGAAGAAAACAAATTCACTCAGTGCGGGGTGCAAATCGAGAGGCAACAGGATGGAGGTTTCATTTTGAGCCAGGAAAGGTACATGTCGCACACCCTTCCGATCCCCTTGAACAACGAACGGAAGAAAGCTAGGAAAGAACCTGCCACAGATTGGGAAAAGACCACCATGAGAGGGGTGTTAGGAGCCATGTCATGGCATTGTAGTCAGGTGCGTTTCTGGTTTGCTGCGCATGTTTCCCTGTTCCTGTCGGAAGTTCCTAGTTCTACTGTTGAGACCATAATTCAGGTGAACAATCTGCTTCAAAAGATGAAAGATGCTTCTCGCGAACCTTTGCGGATTTTTCCCATCCCGATCGAGCGCATCGGCATTTATGCCTGGAGTGATGCAAGCAACCAAAATCGGTCCAGTGGTCACTCTATCTTCCTTGGCGCTGCGGATGGGAGTTTAAGTGAGGGTTGTTTGGCGAAGATATCCCCAATGTTTTGGCAGTCCAGGAAAATCGATCGTGTTTGCAGAGCTCCTGGGGCCTCCGAGGCTCATGCCGCCATAGACTCGGAAGATGTGCTTTATTTGATCCGATTCCAATGGTCCGAACTTCTCGGCAACACACCGGATCAGCGAGATCCGGACTCCCATGTTGGTAAAGTTGAAGGCACTTTGATCATGGATAGTAGGAGTGTTTATGATAAATTGCACAGGCCTTACATCTCTCCTACGGGACAATCCTAAAAAGTGGACATCGAGCTTGTCGCTTTAAAGAATGCTCAGAAAGAAACCGATCTTCGTGTTAGGTGGGTGAATAGCGAAGCTATGCTTGCCAACTCACTCACTAAAAGAGGAGAAGATGAACAAATGAATCGGTTCATTTCGTGCCGCCAGACCTGGAGGATCGTTGAAGACAAAGAATGACAAAGAGATGTTCACTAGTGGAAAGCGCCTGAAAAAAGAACGAATAGACCTGTTGAATCTGCACGATTCGGAGACCAAACTCTGACCAATGGACGTCTTTCGGACAAAGCATCCAGAACATTCCAGAACCAGGTCCAAAATGGACCGAATCCAGGGGCATGCACTTTTTCAAGTGGTGCGTCTTAGGTCAACAGTACCTGTGCCCCTAAGCCATTCGGCTCCCTTGTCCCTAGCCCGAACTTCCATTGACTCACCGGCGTATCGCCATAGAGAAACGGACGCCACCGGACTGCTCGGTCTTCGTTCGTTGCGTCCGTCCTTTGAGGGGCCGTTCGTCCGTTCGTGCCGCGGAACGTGTTCGTCCGTTCGTGTACCGAAGAACGTGCACGTGCCTGTGGCCACGCGGGCTGCAGTCACCTGGCGAGGCTTCGAAAGCTTGGACCCATCAAGCACTTTTTGGAGGGGAATTTGGAGGATATGATATGCTGATGAATCCAAAGGAGTCTACAATAGTCTACAGTATGATGTTTTATCTAGTTGGAATTTGTTTGTTGAATCTATATATATATATATCGATTTGGTTGAAACACTCTTTCCTTCTGCCATTTTCAGGCGGCTCACTCTAAGGCATGCCCCTGGCTTAGGCTTGGGTTGTTCTATGTCCTCCGATCGCCTCTTCCAAGGGAATTGAGGCATGTGAGATGTGCCCCCTCCCCGATTCCACTGAGCTGAGGGGCCTATAGCGATCCCGACGCGTCGCACCCGACGCATCCCAAGGAGGCCAGGCTCCTCAAGAAAACGCCTCCTGGCCGATTTAGCCTCCGCCTCCATATCTCCAGGCAGAGTTGTTGTCAGCGGCTTGAAACTCATGCTGTGATGTGTTTTTGAGACACACACAAATCATTAGTAAGCAGCAAAATGAAATTTTATCTTGCAGGGCCATCCTCTTCTTAGAGACGCACATACACATCGTACGCCTGTAATTACACACACCCTCTTCTTTCCACAAAACGCAGAAAAGCCTCCAGCATCGACCATCGAACCTTCCAGCAAGGCAGCGCCTCGCCCAAGGTCTCCATGCGTTCCTCCAGTTGCCTGGTGGAGCTGCAAGATAAAGAGGGGATCGGTCAAACAACGCCTGGATGAATCAATGGTGTTCAACAATAATTTGCATACTTGCGCGGCATTGTCTTTATAATTATCTTGTTGCAACCCACTGAAAAAATGCGTTTCTTGGATTTATGGCATTTGATCCGTGTCCCAAGCTCTTTGGCTTTTGGGCTTCACTGCCTTCATGTGGAGCGTTGGTGCAACAGTGGTTCCATCAATAAGTGCTGAAGTGTGGCCATTCCAAGCTTCTGGCCATCCGACGAGGGATCCTTAAAACAAGTTTGTTCCTATAGATTGTTCATGTGTTTCCATCATTCCCCTGGTCCCCTCGTCCAAATAGCCCATTCATCCATGCCTCGCCAGCACCTCGCGCTTGCTCTGCTCCTCTTCAGGGAGGGACTCCAAACTGACGCAGGCCCCGGTGGCTTTTTAGTGGATCAAGTGAGAACTGCTGCTTCTGCTGCTCCTATCCCTGCATCAATAACTATACTTGTCGCCTTCTCTTCTAATCCAGCTTTTTCACAAAGACCATTGGTGTGTGATTGTGTGTTGAAACACCCATCAAGGTCGCTCGTGACCCATTCCAACACCTGAAACTCCCCACTCTGTCATTCGGGTTCAGGAAATCACACGTCGAGTCCGGCCGCTCCACGGCCCCAGTGTCCAGCCCTGGCTCCCATCGCTTGGAGAATCGGAGTCCGGTGCGACGGGGCAAACGAAGCGCGACCGCCGTTGGTGCAATTCACGAACAATAGGAGTCATCCCCCAAAAAAACGATGTATAGGTTGGACACAAAGCAACACCCCAAAGGAGGACATCTCCAACAACACCTGCTACTTCCACTTCCTCCGATTGGGGATAGGTTGGGTGATATGAAGAGGATACATCGAAGGCATTGCAATTGAGTGGCCTTGGACCCAAACAACACCCGCAAATCTTTGGGGAAAACAAACAAACAAAATAACACACAAAACACAACACATAATATCGATATCTCCAGTCCAAAATGAACGAGTAGCGTATCACACAACAAACAAAATAAACACACTTCACATACCAGGACCATCCTGTCTGGGTGTTCTGGCTGGAGATCCAGTAGTGCAGGGTTGTCCAGCCAGGACACCCAACCAAAAGTCGACCACGTGGAACTCACCCGGATCCTCCACGATGGAACTCTCCGCCGCGCTGAGCCGTTGTGCCAGGCCCGAGACCTCGGCGAGTGTATATATATATATTATTACATATAAGCAACAAGTGAAAAGTTTACGTATCCTGAAATCATGAGAGGAATATGGAGAAATATCAAAAAGGCTGAGGCGCAATGGACGCGAAGGTGGGATGTGGGCCGCTCCAGTGGACATCACTGGACACCCAGTGATATCAGAAATCCAACTGGAGCGAGGGGATGTGTATTTCAATTGACCCTCGCTAAGAATCCTTGGGCTCTCCATGGGAGGGGTCAAACCCTCCGTAGCAGGGGTCTTTGGCCCTCATAGGGCCTGGATTCTCAGGGCTATTAAAATAAAGGCACGGCACGTGTGACATTGCAGCATCTGCGAGAGCAAGTGGGGTTCGGCCGGTGCGGACCTCAAAAACTCCATGTGTATTTGCATACATGGGGGTGTCAAGGGGTGAGTGTATATTGGATTATATAGGTACATATTCCACACATGGAGTGGTTGAGTGGTTAGGGGCGAGCAATATAAGTCAGGTTTCTAGAAGGGACATGGTATAGGTTTCTAGTTTGGGCTTTCCTGTATGTGGCCATTCTTTCGCTTGTTCATCATAGATAGATCCGACATAACTAGATGAACCATGCCATGAACCGAGTCTTCGGAGACTTCGGGTCGCCAGATCGTTGCGATGTGAAGGGCAGGACGCGTGTATACAAATGAACGACTGGCAACAATGCTAGCTCTACCTGGCTTGAAAACATCAAACTAGCTGAACTCACCCCCTCACCAAACTCGGACCACTTGATCTTGGTCAACTCCAAGTTGGAGAGTTAGCAAGCTCCAACACCGGCCGAAGCTACGCTCTGCATGATTAAAACTAAAAAATATGAATGGAATACACATGAACTGCATGGAATAACATGGAAGATCATGGAAGACCATCTTTTGCTGTCACGAGTTGCTGTTGGTGTTGCGAAACCGTTGGCCGTTGGCCTCTTCGGACGGATCTCCGTGGCGGCGACAGCTCGGACGCCGGGCATGGCTCGTGCCGGTGTCCTGGCTGTGCACCTGCAGCTGCGTCTCCAGGGAGGAGACTTGGGCTGTCAGCCTCGGCGAAAACACCGGGAGTTGGGCCCTGATGTATGGTGTGCAGTGGCACTGTTGGACACTTGTGCTGGGTTAGGGTGTGGATGTTTGCCTGGTTCGCACCCTGTGCAAGATCAACAACCTTTGTGCTTCGTTATACAACAAATTGCTTGATCACCGGCCAATCTCGTCGGTGGGAGGTCCTCCGCCATGTGTACCACTATAATTTACACTAATTTACACCAAAACAAGTCAATGTCCAAAGTCATAAATTATATATCATCGCTTAAACAATCAGCGTATTATCTATAAAACTATATAGCACCGACGTCTATGCAGGCGATGCAAGCAGCAGTTCGATTCAACCAAGTCCTATAAAACTATGTCAATTTGACAGTCTCTGGTTCCACCTTCCATGATCGAAGGTGTGCATCCACTTGGAACCTGCGAGTTCACCGTCTCTGGAACCTGGAGCAGCCCACTGTCGAAGGTCTTGTGCCACTGTCTGCTCCCACTTCTTGCGGATATTCTCGGCCTAGTGGAACGGGCAGGACTGTTCCAACCCATATGGCTGTTCATCGCACCAGGATACCTGACCTACCCGACCTGGCCTACCCAAGCGACCTACCCATCCTCCCGGTTTAGACCCACCATCCATCGCCAGCGGTCCGACCGGGAGCGGGTCGACTCATTCCCAGTCAAATTCAAGACTCAGGGTGGGAACATGTGTGTTATTATCTGAGTATGGTCCGTATTACGACCGTATGGTATATAATTGTGGCTCAAGTATTCTGTGAATATCATGAAACACAGCCAACCTTTGTAGATTCTGGTAGAAGCACACAAAGCACCTCAAATGAGGATTCTTCACGATGAAGCACCATTCTTTCAAAATAAAGTCAGAATGCCCCCCAAACTGAGGTGATGTTGTCCACTCTTGCACCAATCCATCTGTCGGCGAACTGGAGTTCACTGTGGTTCAACCAGAGATCCAAATTTCGGGGTGAGGTAGGCCAAGACAACGAACCCGTCTGTCCACGCTTCACCGTTTTGACTGATCGAACCGCCGCTCCTCCCATCCATCGAACCACCCAGCGGAGGAGACGCTTTTTCAGCTGCGGATGTTCCTCTACGATCGACGCCGTTACGCTGGTCCTTTTGTGTGTCCGATGGTGCCTCGGCGCTGGTCGCATTGGCTCGCATCTCCGCGTTCAAACGCTCCTGGGTCACCCATTCAACGCACCCGCAGCGGCTGGCTGTGTCCATGGCATGTTTGTATTGACTTGAGATGTTGTGGTTTTGGATTCTTTTGGATGTAATGTATGGATGTTGGATGCTGTTTTGGATGTTTTGACTTGAGAAACTGTCCAGGAGAGGTTATGGGATCTCAACACCAAACACCTTTCAGTAGTCCATCTAGTTTCAACGGGACACCACCACTTCCAAAGATCTTCCAGGTGTTCACTGTAAAAGCCGTTGGCCTGTTGTCGTGGTGAACTCCTTCAGGACTGCCTTGGGAGTTCAAAGCGGAATTTGTATAAGAAATTGACCAAGGCTCTTCATCCAGCACGTCGTCTTTTTTCATTCAGAACACCCCAAACGACACCCGGAGGCATTGGCACGTCGTGATGACCGCATGACGACCGGTCAGCGAGACATCAGGGTGGCGCCCGACATGAGGTTGGTGCCCACTGGTCTACGGCAAAAGAAACATCAACTGCGGATGTCACTGCAATATAGAATTGAACATTGTTCAAACTGCTCGTGGAACGACAAACCAATGTGAAAGGAGATGTTTGGGGATGTCTGAGAGCATTTCCATGCGTATGTAACTACTCGAAGTCTTGTCCCTTCTCCGCCTTAGATTATCATTGGATCTGCTATCAAACCGCAGTCTTGGAGCTTGACCTCCAAACAAAAGCAGATCTTGCATGATCTTGCAGTCAAACCAATGAGCTTCATCTGAAGAAGAGTGTCATTCATGGTCGATCGATCCATCAATCCGATTCTCGATCCTTGACCCTCCCATTATTCAAAACCCATGGAAGCCCCGCCATGCCGCTCCCAACCCCGCCCCAGGATGTCCCAGGTCCTGGCTCGCTTGCATGCGGGACTCGACCTGGCCGAGCGATTCTCCAATGCAGGTCCTTTCCGGGTGTCAAATTGTTACTCTTTGCACTGCCACTAGCAAACTGAATATGCGAAGATCATCGAAGATCGCGACAGGATGTTATATCGGGTGGCTCGTGACGGTAAACATCGGTAAACCCACCAATCGTGGGAAGCTGGTGAAAAACGTATACCCTGTGGAGGATCACCTCCAAAAATGAACCAACAGAGTTTAGAGAACTTGGGGTAGGGAGAAATTCGGAAACTCGACAACATTTTGCTTGAGATCGGCAGGAAGGGTCACCCAGCAGATCCAGGCATAGTTCTAACAAAAACGGTTCCAACATGTTCCCAGTTTGACTTCACCAGTAGAGTCGACCGAGGCCCCCTAGGGCCCCCTTTGCGTGAATTGGAACGAGTCCCACGTTCCGGGACTCTCGTGGCCCGAAACGGTGTTGGAAGATCTACAGCGGATTTGCGTTTGTTGTATTCACTGGAGGAATGGTGCTTATAGCATGTTAGATCCATCCATGTTAACAACTACACCGCCACATAATATTGATATTTACATATATGGGACAGGATGCAGAATAGGATCCTTCTTGCTGTCGGTCTATTCTTTGTGGAGTGGTTTTATTCGAAGCCAAGCGGTTCAGCGGCACCTCCTGGTTGAGCTTCTGCTCGCTCCTCAGCACCGCGGCACACCGTGGTGATCTGGGTGTGGCACCCTTCTGGTGACCATCTCGGTGTTTGTGGCATTGTGGCACTTGAATTGATCATATCAATTTGTCTGACGTTTAAGAAAGTCATATCTCTCAACTGTCTGGTCCTTGTTCCTTCTCCCTAGGGCCATAGAACATGCCCCACAAAGCTTTTGGACATGTAATTATATAATTACGTGTATAGGGGATACCAGACTGGGCCGCCCGCGAAAGGAACAAACAATTGCCATGCAAAACAAACATCATCAATATAATATCGGCTTGCTCCCTTTTCACAGAATTTATGGGAATATAAACAGGGTAGGCCTCCTATCTTCCGTGGCGTTTCATCCACGCCTGCAACTGTTGGACAACTGACCTGCGGCAAATACCGAGCAAGAAACTCTCCTTTGTAGGCTGGTTCACACAGGAATCTACCATTTTCTGCCCGAGAGTCTTTACAAGTACCAGTTTTGGGGGTTCACCTAGTTTGTCTCAGAAGGCACACAAACCGAAAACTGGGGGTTGTGACTCCCACAAAAAGACAGCCAAAAAACCTCCCACCTCCTCCTCACCATCATGCCAGGCAAACTTGGTAGCTTGACCCAAGCCCTAAACATATATTAATTACTATTACTATATTCCATAGAAGATGTGGGGATCTCTTGGGTTCTCCCACCGCTCCTCACGAAGCCCCCACACCACCTAGCTCATCCGCCACTCCCCTGAGTTCATCTGGGCTGCTCCAAGAGGACTTGGTCCACGCGTTGGCGCCAGGTATCGAACCCCGCCTGGTCCGGTCTGGCGCCAACGACAACGCAGACCGGTCGTCTCACAGAGGATGGGTCCCTGCAAAGGTCAGAAGATGTCAGGATCGGTTGAAGCAGGTCCCACTATGTTCCCACTATTCCTTGGGACGTCGGTTTTAGAAGCTTGCGGCATGCTGGATCCCTGAGCCGATGACAGCTGTGATGCAGCTACAAACCTGTATATCTTTGGAGATCTTTGGAAACCCAAAATGGTTAAATTGCTTGGAGGACCTGGAAACTCGAGTCATGTATCTGGCACACCTGCCAGAGCAAATCATTTAAACATGAACAACTGATTCCATATAAGCACTACAACCTAGCCCAAGATCATTCATGTGGCTCTTTGGGGTTGAGTTCTTTCAGGTTCATTCCTGTGAATTCATGCCGCTTCCCAAACCACACACCCAACTCACCCCAAATGAAGACCTGTCGGGCCCCGCCCAGGTCTTGGCGCCTCCAGGCTGGAGAGATCCGCAGCATGTGCGCGCAAACCCTCTCTGCTCGTGTCTTTCAGCTCCTGCATACGACGCGTGTTCTACACCACGCGTACGCCACGCGTGGCCCAAAAGCGGCCCAAAGCGGGCGAGACCACGGCCACCTCTGTTTTGGCAGCAGGAAGACACTCTGCTGGTTGTGGGGTGTGAAAGGTGCTCTACCGGACCTAAAGGATGCATGTGCTGAACCATGGCTTCTTTTCCCAACAGCGCTCTTTGCAAGATCCACCAACGAAGCTGAACGTCTCAGAATGGTCCCAAAGCAGTGCAAACGATGTTGGTACCGGGGCCTGATGTGCATCGACTTTGCATGATGTTGCATCGACTTTGGATGACAAGAGATATACAAAAAAGACAACACCAGCAGTCACCAGGCGTATGGTCTTCAAGTTGAATGTACCACAACGGCTGCGAACAAGAACTCGATCTATTAGATCATACAATCATACATCAGCTTCTGTTCGACCGCTGGGCTTGGCCTTTCATGTGTTGGACATCCAAGGGACACACATAGGCAGGCAAACCAACTATAGGTATGTAGAGGGGAAGCGTCTTTCGCAAAATGAGACCTTGCACCCTGGTGGACGACAACACAACTGTGCGAAGTTAATCATGCAAAAATAACCCATGTTTCCACCTGAGACACGAGGCAAAACCAAACACATATTTTTGGGCGACACGGCGATTTTCCACTCGTTCCATATGGGCAGTTCGTTCCAGAAACTCCTCCAGTTGCCCTTGGAGCGCTTGCATTTGCCTTGAGAAGCTGGAAGCCTGGGCCAGTCGACCGTTCCACGGGCCAACCACAGCACGGGTTCTGCCCGACGGGCCCGGCGTTTCACATGCTATTGTTTCTATTTATATATTGTTTCTACTAGCTTCTTGTTTCTAGTAGTAAGGCACTTGTTACTAGAAGCGATGCACTTGTTCCTAGTAGCCACGCCACTTACTCCTAGTGCCACTCCCAAACGTTTGGACCTTTGGCACTTCGCCTTTGGCGTTCCTGTCGGGTCTTTCGATGAGAGATGTCTCCCCAGCGCCCAGCTCTGAGGGATGAAACGGGTTTCTGCATGTGTCTGCCAACAAAAAGATACCAAAAAATAGGCCAACACATCAAACCCAATGGGATGTGATCCGTGTTGATGTCTTCAGGACATGAACGACTGTGGGTCCTCCAGGCAGATGGGGTCCTTCTCTCCGTGTCACTCCACTCCAAGCCCCGGTGCCCGACCGGGCCGGGTTTGGCTGTGGGTGGAGTCATGGCACTGGGGAACCGACCGGTTGACCACGAACTGAATAGACGACCGTAGGTCAATCTACCAACCGTTGGCTCCAGGTTTGGACTCACAGCCACTTCTGGAACATCTTTCTTTTGCGAAGGCGGTCACTTCCAGTGACTGGCCGTGGACACATTGAAGCTTATGAATCAAATTACTTGGCAAGCACAAGAAATGGACAATGTCAGAAACAGTTGTCCTGGGACGACCGCCCTGGCTAGCCCCGCCCACCCCTGGCCACCATCTGGCCCTGCTTGTTGTCTTTTGCCTCCACTGTCGTGTGCCTCTTTCCCATCCAGGCGCCCCTGACTGACTCGCTCAGGATCGACTCCCTGATTTGCTGAAGCTGCTCCTGCCACGTCGGCGCCGGCAGAACAGAGCCAGTGAAATGGCCCGGGGTGACTGGTTGGGTGAAAATGTGTCAATTGTGTCAATGTGTTTGTTGGGTGATTTGGTCTGACGTCTGAGGTGTATGATTGAAAAGGAGACGAAAGCATGAATTGGATTGTTTTGGTAGTTTGGTATATACATTGCTTAACAAACAAACAAACAAACAACCAACCAAACAAACACACACACACACACACACTCTCATCTCATCTCATCTCATCTCATCTCATCTCATTTCATCATCCTTGAATTGGCCCATTTCCCCCGTTCCACCCAACCAGTCCGTCAAACCCCAGCCAGTCTCCTGTTGGACACCCATTTGGCTTCGTTGCTCCCACAACTTGGCCTGAACATGTCTGCGGCGTAAAATGCCAACTGGGATGACGTGGTGTTTCCTGCGACCTGTGGAGGGCATGAGTCTTATGTGTGTGTGTGTGTGTTCATGTTTGTTCTATAAATAATATACCTAGGACCTAGAACTGGAGT